TTTATTTACTTATTTTGAGAGAGACAGGGCGAGTGTGAGCAGGAGAGGAGCAGAGAGCAAGGAGATGGTGTCCCAAGCAGGCTCTGCAATGTCAGCACGGAGCCCAACATGGGGCTCAAACCCGTGAACCATGAGATCATGACCTGAGCCAAAACCAAGAGTTGGACACTGAACCAACTGAACGACCCTGGCGCCCTGATCCTTCTTATTTAAAAGGACGTGGCCCACAAGGCCATGTCTCCAGTGAGAAAAGGTCCTAGGAATGAGCTCAACTCAGAGCAAGCCCTCTTTCCTCTCACAGAGCCTGGCCACAGCCTGTGAAGTTCTTGGCTTTGAGCAGGAAGTGGCCCAGCTCCAGGGCTGGATGCAGGAGAAGGTCACCCTGATGGCGAGAGACATCTGTGGCCACAGTCTGTCATCGGTGCAGACCTTACAGCAACAGCACAGGTGCCTGGAGGTGAGGGCCCGTGCCCGTTGTCTGCCCCTCAGAGCCCTTCCCTGCAGGTGGTGGGTAGGGAGCCCCCAGAGGGGGGAAGAGAAGGCCCTCCCAGCCGGGAGGTGCTTGCCCAGGTGGTGGAACAGAGTGGAGTTGGCCTGTGAGAATCCGGGAAGCGGATCAGGACTCCTCAGAGAGGACCAAATGAAGAGCATCCATCGGGCTGCCAGGGTGAGGCCTGATCATGTGTTCTGGTGGCAGAGGGAACTGGCAGCTGTGGAGAAGGAGGTGGCCCGGATGCGGATGGAGGCCTGCAGACTGGGCCAGCTACACCCTGTGGTTCGGGTGGGCCTGTCTGAGCAGCTGGCCAAGATGGAAGATGCCTGGGCCACCCTGGACGTGAAGGCCCAGGAGCAGGGTCAGCAGCTGGAGCAGGCCGCCCGGGGCCATGCCTTCCTCGGCCGCTGTAGGGAACTGCTGTAAGTGGCACCCCGCCCTGCTGTTGGCTCAGCTCTGCCCTGCAGGGTGGGGGTCACCCCAGCTCTTCAGGGAGCTGGACTCCCCTGTCCTGTGCCCAGCTCCTGCCCTGCTTCCTGAGGCTTCCCTCCCAGCCCTGACAGCAGCTTTGTCTCCCTGCCCCCAGAGCATGGGCTCAGGAGAAGCAGGTTCTGGCTTCATCACAGGAGCTGGCTGGGGACCTGGTGGGGGCCGAGCAGCATTTGGTGCAGCAGGAAGAGCTGGGGCAAGAAATCAAGGAATATTGCCTTCGGGCCCAGGACGTACGGCAGGAAGGACAGCAGCTGGTGGACAGTGGCCACTTCATGTCCCCCGAGGTATGAGCACAAAGGTGGGCCAGGGGTTGAGCTGGGGAGGGAGCCCAACAACCCAAGGAACCCCTAGCAGGAATGGAAACCCTCAGGAGGAGAAGGCAGGCAAGGGAGGCAGAGAGGGGGAGGGTCTGGGCCTTTCCTGGACCTGTCTGCTGGGCACCAGCCCCGCCGTGCCTCGGGGCTTCTGCTCCAGCGTCTGGCCCACAGCGCCACTTCCCACCAGGTGACAGGGTGTCTGCGGGAGCTGGAAGGGCAGCTGCAGGCACTGGCGGAGGCCTGCGCCCTACGCCAGGAGCGCTGCGAGGAGAACTGGGGCCTGCAGAAGCTGCGGCAAGAGCTGGACCAGGCCGAGGCCTGGCTGGCCTCCCGAGAGGGCCTGCTGCTGGACCCCAACTGCGGGGTGAGCCAAGGCCCCACCGTTGACAGGCTGCGCGATGGCAGCTGTGGCCAAGGACAGGTCCTAGTCCTCCTCTGCTCCCTGAACAGCCACGCCAGGCTGTGGACGGGGAGGGTGCGGCTCTTGGTGCCCCTTGGAGCCGGGCCTCACCCTGACCTACTTCTCCCCAGCACTCGGTGGCCGACGTGGAGCTGCTGCTCCATGGACACCATGACTTAGAAAAGTCACTGGCAGCCCAGCAAGAGAAGTTTGCCCAACTGCAGAGGGAGACAGGGGTGAGTGGAGGCTGGGGTGAGCGTACACTGGGATCTAGGGACCTGAGGACTGGGGGTGGGAGCATCCTGGTCTCAGCCTGAGAGTTGGGACCTCCCCAATGAACGGACCCCATATATCTGACCCCCCAGGAAAACCTGTTCTTTGCCCAGCCAGCTGCAGGGCCCTGTCACCTCCATGTCCTGGTAGGTTAGAGCCCCACCATGGACCAGGATGACAGGGAAGTCTCCTGAGCTGACGCAGGAAGAGAAGCCCAATGAGGAGATAGGGACTCTCCAGGTGGGAGGGATCCGGGGCGGCAGAGGCTGATCTGGCTCACCTTACTCCCCTTTCCAAGGTGGAACAGAAGCTGCTGCAGCAGGGGACAGGGCTGAAACCCAGGAGTGCTGGCCACCAGTTTACCTCCCTCCAGCATAGGCCTCTCGGAAGCTGGGGGCCAGTACAGCTGGCTGAGACAAGGGACCTGCAGCCAGGTGTCCCCATTGGGTCACACACACCCTTGGCCACCACTCTCTTCCTGGAACGTGCAGCCAGGCAGCAGGAGCCCAGTGGGGCTGGGGCTGTAGGGGTAAGGCCCACACCCCACAGCCAGCACTGAGGCCCTGGGGGCTGGGGACACAGGGCAGAGGAACTGAGATTCCCCAGGAATGAAGTGGTCAAAAAGGGTTAGATTCCTAGCCCACCTTCCAGAGGGGTCCTGTCCTCTGTTGCTGGATGTTTCCTGGGCCCCTTCTTGCACTTTCAGGATGCAAAGGGTGCCCCCACCATGGAAGGGTTTTTGGAGCTCAAGCAGCAATGGCCTGCAGAGAGGCAGGTCAGTACCAGGAGATTCCTTCTCCAGGCAGCTTTCCTCCACAGAACCACTTGGGCTTCGAGGGGCCATCAAGGCCTGGCACCCTGGCCCCACACCCCTGAGTCTTAAGATCGTTTCATTCTTTTTCCTTTATATATTTTATTGAGCAATTTGTACACCCAATGTGGGGCTTGAACTCACAACCCCAAGATCAAGAGTCACATGCTGTACCCACTGAGCTGTAGCCAATGGCAAGATAGTTTCATTCTAATACACATTCAGTTGCACTTCCCCCCCCTCAGGCCCCGGGTGGGGAGCAAGTCCCTCTTCCTCCTCTTCCTGGTTTCCCTACATGTCATTCCCTGGCTCCCTCTTCCCCATGGACACCTTGGACCAGTCCAGGACTTTGCTTGGGAGCCTCTGGAGACAGACGGTCAGGCTTTGATAAGGCCAGGCTGCAGCCTCCCCTCCACGCTCGGCTGATGTCACCTCACCCCCTTCTCTCCACAGCCCAGCTCAAGCCCCTGGGATTGCTGCTGTGGGACCCTGGGGGGCAGTTCCCTGAGCCTCTTCTGGGATAAGAAGACTGCAGCAGAAGTACTGGGCAGTGGAATACAGGCAAGGCAGAACACAGAGAGGCCCATGGAGAAGAGTGGACATGGCCATTGTGACCCCTCTCGCCTCTCTTCTCAGAACGTGGCCCCCGTGGACACCCTTGATCTCACAGGAGCCCAGTGTGAGAGGCTGAGGTACTGGAGTGGCAGGAAATATGCTTTCTCCATAAGGTGAGGGCCACATGGAGAGACAGACAATGGCCCCAAGACATCCTGACCCAGCAGGCACAGCCTCACAAGAGCAGCCAAGAGGCTCGAGGTAGGGGGTCCCCCCCAAGGGAGGCAGAGTTTTGAGCCATGGCTCTCTGCCCAGCAGGCTGAGCAGTGGGGTGGAGATCCCATATGCAGCACCATCAGAACAGCATGCCTGGAGCTGGCATCGAGCCCTGAGTGGCACGGCAGGTAGGCACCAGGGCAAGCCTGGGGTGGGACTTGGGGCACGGATTCCCTGGACCCCAGGCTGTGGTTTCCTACATCCTCTCAGGCTATAGAGGTACCATCCTCTCTACAGCCAGAGAGGTAAGTGGGACTTTGAGAAAAGATACTAGGAATTTAAGGCCCAGAAAGGGTAAACAACTTGCCCAAGATCACACAGCTAATTTGTAGTAGAAGTAGGGCCATGTTTGACCTGTTGGCTGCCTCCTGGTCCTTTCCCACCCACCTTGTGGAGTGTGCCTCTCTGACACCCAAGTGTTCCTAGGCTTGTTGTGCGACCCTGGGACCTTCTCGAACCTTTCAGTCCTCAAATAGCTCTGAATGTTCTGCCCTTGGGGTATCTTAACCCACTTCTATCACAAGGGATGCCTGGAAAGCACCCCTGCACTGGGAATCTCTTGGTCCATGTGGTTTGACAGGCTCCACCTGGACAGTGTATTCCGGTCATGTCACTGCCCAGGTGGGAGTCCCTTCCTGTTCTTCCCAGTCTCTGGCCCCCTGGGATCTTTCTGAGCCTGTCCTTCCAGAATCCCAAAGGGATCTTGGATCTCCTCCAGGCTGAGCCTTTCTTAGCCCACCTGTGCTCAGCCTTCTAGGAGATGGGGTGCACTGGGGGGCCTGCACTACCCCTCCTGGTGTGTACAGAGCCTCCTGCAGCAGTTGTAGCTTAGTCTGTGGGCTGCTTTTCACAAAAATACCAGACTGAGCAGGTTACAGACAAGAACCGTTTATTTCTCACAGTTCTGGAAGCTGGGAAGTCCAACAGCAAGGCACCAGCCGACTGCATGTCTGGTAAGAGTTGTCTTGTGGGTATCCTAGTTCTTGCTGTGTCCTCACTTGGTTGAAGGGGCAAGGTTACTCTTTGGTCAGGTCTCCACCCTCATGACCTACTCACCTCCCAATACCATCACCTGGGGGTTCGGATTTCAACAGAGATGCAAACATGCAGGGAAGTGTGCTGTCTGCAGAGGGCCTAGCATCTGGGCCAGGCTCACCATTGTTCTCTCTGTGCTCTGCAGCCCACTGTCTGAGCCTGGAGCACCGAGCCAGACCTCTGGGCTTCACTGTTGAGCCCACTGCTGAGAGGGCGCCCAAGACAGCCGCCTGGCTCAGGTAGGACAGCTGGGTATACGGGCAGATTCGAGTCCTGAGCCCCATCACTGGCACAGATGCTGCCCTCTCAAGCCCAAGAGCCAGAGACTTAGACCTGCACTGCTAGGGTGAGGGGTAACGCCCATATTTGAGACCCTCAGCAATAGAAAACCCTAGCACCCGCCTCACCTGGTGTAAACCTCTGCTTACTCAGTAATGGCAACAGAGTCCAGGCCCTGAGGCTCCTCTTCCCCACAGCTTCCAAGGCTGGCCCCTGACCACCTCAGTGAGGGAGCCGCATGTGAGTGCTGACGGTCAGCTGCAGCCCATGGAGTTGCTGCAGGCTGCTGGCCTTGCCCAGGAACCTGTCCAAGGCTCCCACCGCCTTTCCTGCCCAGGCCAAGCCCAAGGTACAGGCCCCTCAGGGGTCCCTTTGCACATGCTAGAAAGCCTGCCTGGCTCTGTCCTCCAGGGCTCCCACCTCTCTCACCCCTTGGTCTCCTCTTCCTAAGACAGAAGCCATGTTGCAGGACAGCCGTACCCTGCTCTCTGCCTGCCCTTCCCTGCTCGAATGCGAAAGGAAAGCCTTACTGTCCTAGAGTGGGCAGAGACAGACCCCACCCTGTTGGGCTTGAGGGGCACTCACAGCACAGTGGAGGGCAGCCGCGGGTATGGTCTCTGGCAGTTCTGCAAGCCCGTCCCGCAGGGCCCTCGGGGTCCACTTTAGGCTTCAGAGCACATGTTGCTGAAGGAATAGGCTTCATCCTGGATGGTGGCTTCTAAGGCTACCAGGGCAATCATTTCTTCTCCTGTGACTCTAGCCCCATGCTCAGGACAGGGCCTGAGAATCACTGGGTGAGAGCAGACACAGGGAGCTCGGCCACAAGACCCAGTCCTCTCCCATATCTCCTGCAGCTGCCTGTCAGCTTCCAGGATCCACGTCAACATTAGTTCCAAGGGAGGCCAGAGCCCTTGCATACCAGTGCTCGACAAAGATTCTGGGGAGGCTAGGCCCTAATTTCACTCTGCTTCTTTGTTCTCCCAACAGGTCTGGGCCCTGAAGCAAACCCTGAGATGGCACCAAACCTCGAGGTTACAAACAAGGACAGCCTCTAGGGGAACAGAATGAGACGCTGCTGCCAGGCCCTTCAGGACCAAATTCTGGAATAGACGGTTCCTTGTTAAGAGGCAGCCTTCACCAAGGTCACAACTTGCTGAGGTTATGCCATTAGGACTTGCCTCTGGCTCCTCAGATCCTGGGGGTGGCCATCCCCACCGTGGGACAGGGGTGCTGTGTCACTGCCAGGGCTCCAGTAGCAGAGACTCCCTCCACCACCCCACCCCTGCCCAGGCCAAACTGGCCGCCTCCCTGCTTGGAGAGCGTGGCTCCAGCAGGGCAGACATGGCCTTCTCTTCAGGGGAGGTTTGGACCGACCTGCTGTCTAGCTCGGTGAGGTACCCCTGGGGAGATGTTCAAACCAGTCCTTGCTATGTGCAACCAGGAGCATGGCATGACCTGTCTCTTCTTGGCAGCAATGACAGATAACCCATTAACATCTCACATTATATGATCCTCTGTGATACATAAACCGCTCTATTTCACTCTGTACAACTATTCAAAGTAGCAAGGGAAAGGGTCACATAGCTTTGAACACTTTTGCAAATATGGTCAGTAACGGCCCCCAGGTCTACCTCTGGCCACCTCTGAATGTTCTCCTTGAAGAGGAAACCACCTCCAGCCTGAGGAGACAGGGCTCTCAGCCCTTTTAAAACCCTCAACCTACCTGCAAGTAGGTGAAGAGGGTGATGGTGGCTGCAGGGCCCTATCTGGGTAGGGCCAGGCACATATCTTTGCGAAGCCCCTCAGAGCGCGAGGGGGCCAGGGCCATCCAGGCTGCCGAGGCTCTGGAACTGTTGGTCATGACGGTCTCTGCCCGACTCACTCAGGTGGACAGGGAGTGAGTCTGACAAAGTGTCGGGAGGGGAGCAGGGAGTCCCGGCCGGGCAGCGCCATCACTACGGCCGGTGCTGCCGGCGCTTCCGTTGCACAGCTCCACGCAGGGCCTCCAGCAGCTGCTCCTGGTTGTTGCAGATGTTGTAATGTGTCAGGTGGAGCAGCTTGTCCATGTCCTCTGGGCTGTAGGTCAATTTCGAGTAGTGGTAGGGAGAGTTGGATGAAGACAGGTTCACCTCTCCGGCCCCCTTCTCCTCAGGTGTCCGTTGGATGCCTAGTGGAGACAGGGTAGCAGGGCAGGGACAGGACATGCACAGGGGAGGTGGGGGGGGGGGGGGGGGGGGGGGGTGCACTGTGGAGAGACAGGATGGAGGGGCTCACCAGGGGCCGAGTACTCCCGGAAGGAGGCATCCACCAGAGGGAAGTGCAGCACCGCTGGGGCATCAGGGCGGTCTGGATCAGAAAACAAGCAGCACTCCGGAGGCTGGCGCTGCTCCTCTGGGCTGGGGGAGATGGGCGGGAAAGGGATGCCCTGCTCCTGACAGAGCCGGCCCAGGAGCTGCAGTTGCTGCAGGGCAGCAGAAGTGGTGTCAGATGGCTGGGCCCCAACACTGGGCCAGTGGGGGTCAGCTGGGATGCGTGGGACCTGGACACCAACTCAGATCCCCTGGCACCGGGCCGGACTGAGGAAGGGGCTCCAACCCCTCAGCTGCACGAGGCTAACTGCTCCCAGGTTCTGCAAAAACCTTCACCGGACCAACACAAAAACTCAGAGCAGAGGGATCCAGAGGTCTAGACTGAAAGGAGGTGGCAGGTGCCACAAAGGGGCATCACCAGCTCCTTCTCCATCTGGCTTCCTGAGCAGAATAAGTCCCCCTGGTGGTAAATTCACAGGATCCACAGTTCATAGGACACTGTTCACAGAGTGTCACAGCCCCTCAGGGAAGCTGGACCACATACTAGACTCCAAGGCAGACATCCCCAGAGGCAGGAGCCAGGATGTCAGGCCAGGCCTAAGGCAGCACGGTCTTCCACGTCTGCCCCCGGCTCACCTGAAAGGCTCCTTGGAGGTTGTAATCCAGTGACAGGATGAGGTCCACATCCCGTGTGGGCCGCAGAAGGGGTGGGAAACTGGTGTTGATAAGGTAGCCAACATCCAGCAGGCAAAGATGGGGCTCTGCAGGTGTCAGCTGGTTGGGGTGCCCATCCAGTTTGGTGGCTGGAAAAGTTGAGGGAATGGGGTAGAAAAGCAGCTATCATTGGTGCTGAGGCCACCAGATCCCTCTGGCCTAATGCTAGTTCCTTGCTACTGGCAGAATCCGACTCTGCCCTCTGGTCCCTCTTCTCTCCCACCAAAAGTAGGCCTGTCACTTCCCAAGATGCCACAGATGGGCCCTGATCCACAAATGAGAGGAAAAAGGGTAGCTGATCCAAGCAGCCCAGTGAACTAAGCTCAAAGGAGCTTGGGGCCCAAGGGTTGGAGACTGTGGATGTCTGGACCAGGGACCCAAAGCTCAGGTGGTCATGGGCAGCCCATAGAAAGCTGGGACCAGAGAGAGAAGAGATACCTTTCCAGGTGGAGAAGTAAGGCTGTTGGAAATAGTCTTTGTGGAACTGAAGACCACGCAGGAAATTATGTGTGGCCTGGGCCAGTGGGCGCCGTGTCAGAAGGTCAGTAAAAAACTCAACAATCTTGCCGGTCCCCGTGGGAGGCTCTTCTATCTTCAGGAGAGGAACCTGCTCCTTGTCTGCTCAATTAAGAAGGGGGAAAGTAGGGCATCTTTTAGGAAATGGGGACCCCTAAACTTTTACCCCAGCTTCTGTAGACTCCCAAAGGCCTGAGAGCCACCCCCACCATCCTCCAGATCCAGCCCCTGTGGGGGCCTCTCCACTTGCTCACAAGGAGCCCAGGCACCCACCCAAATTGGCCTGATCCTGTGCCCAGCGGTCCCAGAACTGGCTGGGCTCTGAGGCCCAGTATAAGCTGTCCTGGAGGCTGGCTGCATACAGATTGCTCCAGATACCTGAGAAAGGGGACACAAGAGGAACAGAAAGGACATGAGGGGGAGAGAGCCCCCACCCAATCACAATCTGACTCTTGCCCACGGCCCATCCTAGACTGGGAAGCATCCCCATGACTGAGCTGAGGGTGGGTTTGGGCGGGGGGGGGGGGCTGCCATCTTCGCCAGGCCCGTTCTCCCCTCTATCTCCGCTTCCCAGGCCTCTCACCTTTCAGGAAGCAGATTCGGGACTCAGGAAGCCGCTTGGTCAGGCACCCCATGAAGAACTCAGAGCCAAAGAGCTCGGAGGGGATGAAGGCACCGTACTTGGGAAAGCCAACCTCATAGGGGGAGAACTCACACCACTCTGCGAGGAGACCACACAGCTTCACTGCGGGGCTCAGAACTCCAGGACCCTCAACCACCACAGGCTTCACACCAGGGAAGCCTGGGGACCTAGAGGCTCAGGCTGGTTACAGGCACCCTGAGCATGGACCTAAAGGCCCACCCCAATCCCAAAGCCTGAGTGACTCTGGTGGGATGATTAATAATCTCTGGAAGGCATGGGACCTGGCCCAGAAGGGGAGGGTGTAACACCCATCTCCTACACACAGGCACCCTGCCAGCTGCGAGATCACATGTCTCCACTCGGGGCTACTCACCAGCAAATTCAAAGGTGGTCAGGTTCTTCTCCTTGGTGTTAAGGGCACAGTAAATGGGCAGAGGGTTCTGGCCTTGACTCAGGGCCTCTCTCTGGTCTGAGAGAGTATGGTCATGGGGCTGGTAGAAGGAGAGGATTTGAACCTAAAGTTGTGCTTTCTGGTGCGTGGGGCCTTTCCCATCTCTGCTGCCCAGGGCGGTTCCCCATCTTTGAACCATGCCCTGGCCACACACCCGCCCCCGCTGTACCTCATCGTGCAGCAGGGCCTCACTAATGAGGGCCCACAGGTTGGTGAAGCAGGGCGGGTGGCCCAGGCGGGCACGCTCGGCCAGCTCCTGCCGGTACTGCTGCAGCTGGCTGGGAGCAAGCACGCCCAACTTGCTCTTGGTCACCTGTGTTTTCAGTGACTCGGTGGGCCCTGCCAGGTCCTTCTGAGACCATTCTGGGTCCTCGTAGAGGTTGGCCAAAGCCCTGGGAAAGCCAAAGCCCAGGAGGTCATCGCATACCTCGGACTCTCTATCCTAGAACAACAGACTAGCAGGTACCTTCCAATGGTCCCCCCAAGCACGTTCCTCTCTGGCACATCCTTTCTCCCAGTTAGGTCGGAGGTGCCTATGGGGTCCACAACAGCCTTACGACTGCCACCCCCAAACTCCTGCACTCAACGTGCTGCCAGCTCACCAGGTAGAGCCAGAGGCCCCTGTGATGTAGGAGATGCAATCCAAGAGACCCAGCTCCTTCAGGCCAGCCAGATGCCCATACAGGGAAACCATCGCCCGGATCCCACCACCAGTGGCCATAACAGCTACCACGGGGATCTGGAAGAGAGGATAGCCAGGTCAGTCAAGGTCTGATCAGGGCTGTAGTCTCCCAAACATCCACCCCTTTCCATCTTATTAGGAGAAGTCATTTCCCTAGAAGTTGTCCCAAGCTGATCTGACCCCAGCAGGCTGCCCTCAGGCTACATGGCTCACTGATGAGTCAGATGGGACCCAAGTCCCAAAACCTGGACCAGACCAAAAATCAAGAAACAATGAGAAAGGGGGTGCCTGGCTGGCTCAGTCAGTTGAGAGTCTGACTTTTGGTTTCAGCTCAAGTCACGATTTCACGTTTCATGGGTTCAAGCCCCTTGTTGGGCTCTGTGAGGACAACACAGAGCCTGCTGGGGATTCTTGCTCTCTGCCCCTCCCCCACTCACACTGTCTCCATTTCAAAATGGATGAATAAACTTAAAAAAAAAAGCGAGAAGGAAACTTAGCCCAATGGGGCAGCTTATAAGCTCCAGGTGCCTCATGCAATGCTCTGCATTTGATGGCATCAGGCTGCCAAGAACATCAAGTGAGAGGGAGGCACAGCAGGGCAGGTAAGTAAGAGGCAGGGCCAAGCTCCAGTCTGGTTAGGAAACAGTCAGCTCTGGGCTCGAGGAAGACTGAGGATGCCCATCCAAGGCAGCCCAGCCCACAGACCTCATCTTCCTGTAAGTCTTCATCCAGTTGCAGGACCTGCTTCAGGGCCTTGGCCACCACCTGCTTCCTCTTGCTCAGAAAGGCCTGCTCCTCGGCACAGGGCCCGCAGCCTAGCCGCACAGCCAGCTCCCTGGGTCTGGGTGGGAAGGAAGGAACCATCAGGCAGCTCCCGGCCTCATTACAGAAAAGGAAGCCGGGTCTGCCTCACCTGAGAAGCCCACTTCTCAATCTCTCTCTCCTCTCCCCAAACCACACTCCTGCCCATGTCTGGACAGAAGCGTGACATGTGTGGGTATGATGGAGAGAAGGTGCACCTAGACCCAGATGGGGACACTTGGGGAATGCAAGAAAATGGATTCCCACAACTATAAATGCTGGTGCCTAAAAAGGCCCCCGGGTGGGACCCACCACCACAGATCTACTTCCACCTCTCAGCTTCTCTCCATTACCCACCCAAAAATGACTCCAGCGGAGACAAGAAACAGTGTTCCCACCTCTTCGTGGCTAGTCTTCCAGGCATGTGAAGAAGGGCCAGGGTAGGTGACTTCTCTTGTTTCATGAAGATTATTAGCTACGGTCCACCCACAATCGCCACCACCCAAAGGGAGCATGATTTCTCTCTTGTGGCTTCCTGGCCCTCTCTGTGCCTCAAGTTCAAGTGCAGGTGCCTGCCTGCTCTCCCCCACGCCCTCTCCCCGGGACTAGCCAGCTCTCACCCGTCTTCTTTTCTCAGCTCCACCCTCATCAGGGGTTCCTAAAAACCATGAACACTTCAGTCACAAAAGTTGGCCACCATGTTCCTCTCATCCTGGCCTGAGCCACACCCTATGATGCTCCCATGCTCCCTCCGGCCTCCGGCCATCTCCACAGGGACAAGGTCTGAGGCTTCAAGGCAGCTCTGTTCAGAGGACCCCTCTCTCCTCAGAACCTGGCTCAGCACTTGTGCAGGGCATGACTCTAAGACTGAAGCTCCTACCACCGCAGGCCCCCTATAAGGCATGGGGCCCAGCCCTGCCTATGCTTCTGGCATTCTTCCTCCGGGTGATCAAGTACCTGGGACGTAGGGAAGACAAGCCTCACCACCTGCCCAGAGGGCAAGGCCCTCAGGGGCACCTTCAGGTGCTCTTGGGGGGTATCCTGTAGGAAGGATGAAAGAAAACCTAAGAATCACTTCTGTTCCAGCAGCGATCTCACCCATTGCCCCAGGGAGTGACAAGCAGCAGCAGGAAGAGGGACAAGAGGCCAACCTCGACCCCATACTCTTCCCAGTGTGCCTGATTCTGCCAGGGAGTGAGGGGGTGAGGGGCTCAGCATGAGCAGAAGGACCGGCTAGAAGAAAGAGGGAGAAAGACTCTGCAGGCCCCACCTCAACAGCACACTACCTGCAGATGAATATCCAGCTCCTGCTCCCAGCAGGCCGGGCAATGGAAGCAGAAGGAGCCAGCACCCACAGCGGCCTCCTGCGGACCCTCACAGGACCCAGGAACCATGAGCTGAACTCTTCCCCCGGACTCTGGAAATAGGAACCAGAGCAGAGGGGCTGGGAATAAGATCCTGGCCCACAAAGGCCCAAGAATGTCTTGCATAAGGGGCCTGAAGGGTACTTCCCCCCCACCCCGAGGAGGAGGACTGGCACAGGCCAAGGCTCAGAGATGGAGCCCCCATTACAGCCTCTCCAAGGACTAAGGGGACACAGGTCCTGGGGAGCCCCAGCATGGATTTGCCCCTAATCTCTACCACTGCCTATGAAAGTCTAGGGCAGCTAATGTAAGGTCCCTTCTAAGATCCCCATAGAGAGAGGAAGACAAGGGGCACCTGGGTGGCTCAGTTGGTTAAGCATCCGACTCCGGCTCCAGTCATGATCTCACAGTTCATGAGTTCAAGCCCCAAGTCAGACTCTCTGAGAACAGCTCTGAGCCTGGAGCCTGCTTCAGATTCTGTTTCCGTCTCCCTCTGCCCCTCCCCCACTGGCACACTGTCTCTTTCTCAAATATAAATAAACATTAAAAAATTAAAAAGAGGGGCGCCTGGGTGGCGCAGTCGGTTAAGCGTCCGACTTCAGCCAGGTCACGATCTTGCGGTCCGGGAGTTCGAGCCCCGCGTCAGGCTCTGGGCTGATGGCTCAGAGCCTGGAGCCTGTTTCCGATTCTGTGTCTCCCTCTCTTTCTGCCCCTCCCCTGTTCATGCTCTGTCTCTCTCTGTCCCAAAAATAAATAAACGTTGGAAAAAAAAAAATTAAAAAAAAAAATTAAAAAGAAAAAAAAGAAAGAGGAAGACAAGGGCAGAGGGCTGGGGGTTATCTTGGTAGGTGGGAGACTTACCCTTCCGGTCCCCTGCCTCCTCCAGTCGAACATGCAAGCAAGAGAGCTCCCGGGCCTGAGTCATTAAAAAAGCCCCTCAGACTTGAACCCCTGCCCTGTTAGAGGCCCCCACCTCCCAGCACCCTAGTTTTGGTCCTCAGCACTTCATTACCTTGGCCCTGAGTCACCAACCATTTGCCTGAGGTTGTATCCTCTTAAGGAACCAAAATCCCAGGGACCCCCCCAACTCAGTTCTACCCATGAATCTCCAAGGGAGGCCCAAGCTTCAGGGAGGGGGATAGCAGATGGCATGAGGGAGGAGCTTCGACTTACCACCAGAATGCCATTGGTGACAAGCTGCTCAGCACAGTCTGTCCTGAAAAGGACACCAGTGACCCTCAGTGCAAGTCTAGGCTCCCTCAAAGGGCCACGGCATTCCTCTACCACCACTGGATGTCTCAGAGGGAAGGGTGTCAGTTCTGGGCACGCTCTGGGTGCACTGGACTCTGCCCTTCCCCAAAAGAAGCACTCCCACCCAAGAAGTGCCCAGTGGCCCCTGACTCACAGTCTCTGTAGCCGAAATTCAACTTCTAGCCGCTCCTCACCCTGGAGAGAGGAAAAAAACAAAGAGAGGTTGAGGACTGTGAGTGTAGATTTCAACACACATGCCAAGTGGGGCTGCTGGGGCCTGAGAGGTGGTGAGAGCCAATGTCCAACTCCACCCTGCTCTGTCCACTTTCTCTGGGTAGCTCCCAAAAGCTGCCCTTGGTTGAGGGGCCAAGAAAGAGGGTCAAGGATGGGATTATTCCTGTGGACAGCAACTCCTGGCTGACAGTAACCTCTGGATGCCACGGAAGCCTGGGCCACTCACTGGAAAAGAGGGCCATGTACGCAGCTCCCCTGCAAAGGATCTCCCCTCCCTGGGCTGAGGCTTTCCACTGCCCTGGGCACAGCCTTGCCTGAGCGCTCAGTGAGAAGCTCTCTCTGCGGAACTCCCCAGCTCGCAAAGTCCCCACGTCAAATAGCACCGACAACACGGGGTCATCATTGGTCAGAAGGTCCTGGTCAAAGACTTGCAGCTGCACCACATTCTGGAAGGGAACAGAGTAAGGGGCTGCAGGAAGGAGGAGTGGGATAGGAAGGTGAGTGGGGCCATGGCAGAAAGGGGGCTGGCAGGGACAACGGGCAGGGCAGGGGCTGACACCTGGCCCACCTTGAGCTGGCTGTGGATTCGAAAGCGAAAGCTCTGATTCCAGATGGGGTTTCTGCTGTTCTTGACCGTGCGTGTCTGCAGCCTATGGCTAGAGGCCGTGGGCAGCCACAGACTCACATAGCAGTCAGAGGGGGTTACTGCAGGAAGAAGGGACAAGTGCCTGCTGACAGCCAAGAGCCTTACCCAGCCCAGCTTCCCAGGGTCCATGACCTTCCATTATAGGCAGCCCTGGGAGGCCTGGAGACCCTCAGAATGGGACTGAGTCGGGAGGCAGGAAGAGCAAGAAGCTGAGGCACAATCCCACATTCCACCCAGCACCTCCTCTCGGCACCCTCTCCAGGACCCTTGCACGCCCAGCCCTACTTGTATCTCTTCCCACTCTGTCCCAGTCTGAATCCAGTTCCAGAACCACTGTCCTCCCTGGGCCCAGCACTCACCTAGGTCCTTCGAGGGCAGGCCACAGGCCTGCAAGACACGAATGGTGAGCAGGCAGGTCCCAGGCACCTTTGCCTGCAGAGGAGGGACAGGTCAGGCTTGCTGCAGGATGCTGGGCCCAAAGCCAACAAGGGCCAAAGAAGAGGCCAGAGTACCCCCTCCAGGACTAATTCTGAACCAAAGGGATCAGCCCTTCCCAGCCACATGGCTGCCCTCCACCCATCAGAGCTCTAAATGGAAAGGAGGCTATGGTATCTACTGATGATGCCTGCCAACACTTACACAACACTCTGGGCCGGCGCTGGCCCAAGGGCTTTATGTACATTAACTTCTTTCATCACACAACTATGCTGTGTGTAGGGACTAATTATGACCAATCCCACAAGGAAACTGAAGCACAGAAAGACAGAAAGCCTACATAGTCACTGGCCTGAGGTCCAGGGCCAAGACTGCACCAGGACGGCTCGACTCATGCTCTCTACCCCACAGCTTGCTTGCTTCTAGCTGCGGTTTAGTGTCTTTTAAATCATGGGGCGCCTGGGTGGCGCAGTCGGTTAAGCGTCCGACTTCAGCCAGGTCACGATCTCGCGGTCCGTGAGTTCGAGCCCCGCGTCAGGCTCTGGGCTGATGGCTCAGAGCCTGGAGCCTGTTTCCGATTCTGTGTCTCCCTCTCTCTCTGCCCCTCCCCCGTTCATGCTTTGTCTCTCTCTGTCCCAAAAATAAATAAACGTTGATAAATCTTTCCACCCCACATTTCCAGCTACCCCTTGCTAAGCTGCCTTGAGGCAGTCTTAGTTGGCAGGAGGCCCATGATGGGGCGGGCAAGGGGGAGGGGGAAACAGCAGAATATAAGGCTACAGAGGGAGGGGAAGAGGCATGTCAGGACCCAGCCTGGCCATGGGCCCCTTGGTAGGGCTGCTCCCCTGGTTGAGCAGCTTAAACGGAGGCATGTTCTGGTTAAGCAAACCCTGTATCTGGAGAGGTAGAAGTGAGGAACACAGAGTTGGTTTTCAGCCTCTCCACCCCTGGCCAGGACTCAATTCTGGAAATGGGCTCTCTGCTTGACTATGAACAGCAGTTAGCAACTCAGACCACACACAGGTTTTCAAGTCCTCCAGGTGCTACAGGTCAGGCTAAAGAGGACCCCCAAGCAGGTCCATCCAAACCCACAATCATGAGTCTAGGGATATAAACCATGGCAAGTGTGCCAGGAAAGCCTGTGCCAACTAATCCTGGCCTTCAGCCCTGCCTCAGAAGGGTCTTGATGGATGGAGTTGAAGGGCAGAGCCGGGGAAGCTCATCTGTCAGTGTCTGCCCTGGGGCCCCCACCCTCCAAGCAACTGAGTCAAGAGCACCCGAGCAGCCACTTCCTTCTGGGACCCCAGGACAGTAGCCCAAATCCATGGCCCTGAGAACTCTGCCTGGAGCCCATCTCTAGGGCAGGAAGAACTCAGGATGACCCTTATCCCAAGACCCGGCCCGTTCCCTGGCTTCTGCTCACCACCCTGGACCAAGTCTGGCAAACTCCCCTCTCTACACCTGTGGAAACCCACAGCTCCTCTTAAGAATCAGCATTAACCAGACCCCAGAGGGAACAAAGGTCAGCCTGGGGGCCCAGGGCCCCAGCAGGTCTTACCAGAGCCATGAGACAGACAGTCCTCAAGAGCCACAAATGACAGGCAGTGGGCGCAGGACCGAAGACTGTCGGCTTTTTAACGCAGAGCCAACAATGTGCCAGTTGGCCCCAAGCTCCTCCCTGGTCCCTCCCAACCGCCTCCGCTCCACCCAAGCCTCACACTCACTCCAGGACAAGCCACCTGTCAAGGAAATGAGGAACCTTAAACCTACATGGCCCCTGTAATGGGGGCCTACCACCCATGAAGACCCATTCCCTCTAGGCGTTACCACCAGCACCTACCCCACCCAACCCTGCTCTTGTGCCTGGACCTAGAAGGGCCACTGACATCTGGAAAGCAGGGAGTGGACCCAGGGCAGCACCAAGTGGATAAGCCTTGTCCCCTGTCACAGGGTCTTTCACAACCTCCGGTGCCTGTAGGACAGGAATGCCCAGCCCTGACTGAAGCACTTGGCTAATGTGAAGCGGGTGCCCCAGGTCCATCACCGCCCGGCAGGGGCGAGGTTTGTTTCACGAAAGAGCCCTCCCAAGCCCCGTGCCTGGCTGCCTCCACCTTCGGCGCTGGGTGGCTAGGATGATGAGGCCTCTGAGTGGCTCTCCGGGAAAGGGGCTCTTCCAGGTCTGAGTTGGTGCAGGGAGGGAGGGAGTCTGAGTGTGTGGAGACCCTGAGGCGGGGATGGGCAGGGGTTTCTGTCCCCTCCTACCTATGCTTGTTGTGGAAGAAACAGGGGTGACCCTCGGCACCAGACCCCACCAGCTTCCCTGGAGGTGGAGGAGAGCAAACAAGGCCAGAGCAAAGCTAGGCACAGCTTTAGAGGCCGAGACAGGGAGGTCTGCACCAGAGTTAAAATGAGACCCGCTTGCCCTGAGAGGGGCTGCAGTGGCTATCATGGGAGTTGGCAGCAGAGGTCCTCAGTCCCAAGCCTGGACCCAGGCCTCACCCCCAATCAGGGTCACCTTGAAATGTTTACCTGAACCTTCCAGCCCTCACCAGACCACAGAAGGCAACTTCAAGAGGGAGTCTCAGCACACATGAATCAAAGCCACCTTTTATTGAACACTTCTTCTGTGCCAACCCCTTATGGTCCTTAAAGATCTCTCTCCAAGCCTCACAACACCCCAAGGGGTAGGACCCATCATTGTCTCTGTTTTACAGACAGGACACCAATGCTCCAAGGTGGTAAGTCGCCCATGGTGCTGGTAAGAGGCTGCACCAGAAGTCCCACTCCTCCTCCAGTACAGGCAGCTGCCTCACCTGTGTGGTAACTTCCTGGGAGCTCACACCCAGACCTGCCTGGCACCTCCTGGACCTCCAGATCACCTCCCCAAATCCTCCAATGCAGATTCCAAGCTGAGCTGGGCCAGGAGTCAGCAGACTCTGACTCCAGTTTGCCTCTGGAAGTGACTTGGCCTGGGAGGGACACGACCTTTTCCACCACTTGTCGTTGGCAACGTTCACCAGGGTTCCATCAGTCGAGGCCTGAGGCCTTAGTGAGGGAGTCAAGCAGCTGGAAGTAACTGTACTTAAGGTCATACTCCATGTCATACCAGTAGTTCACTGTGGGGAGAATGGAGACCTCAGCATGAAGGTCCCCCTCCAAACCTACTGCCTCCCAAACCCATCCCCCAGCAGCTCTACTGGGCAGCTCCTCACCAGCAATGCAGCCATGGGACTGCTGGACGTGGTGGAACCACAGGGCCGGCAGATAGAGCATCTCACCGGCCTGTACGGTGCAGCAAAGGGCCCGGGCCTGACCGTAACCGGGGTACCGGGCCAGATCTGGAGCCAATGGGTCCAGTGGGATCCAGGGTACCTGGGGATACAATGGATGCCAGGGAACAGTCCCAAAGCCCCCAGCCCTCCAGCTCTGTCCCTTCCAAAGGTAAACACCATGAGCTCTGCCCTGTTCAGCACTGGGAAGGCCCAGACTTAGGGATTTTTCAGACTAAGGTGCCACCTCTCCAGCTCTTTTGTGCCTTCTCAGAGACACGGTTCCTACCCTTCTCCCTCCCCAGGTCCCAGGAACAAGGCAGATACCTTCTCCATGGCCTCTTCATCCACCACATTAAAGGAGCCCTCTTCAGTGAGGTGGTAGGTTGCTGGTGTGTATAGCTCTGAAACCAGAAGGAGAAAGGTACAGGGACACTCAAGTGGCCTGCAGCTTGCCAGTTCCTCCCCTTTGTTCCCTGAGTGCAGTGGAAACACTGTGCCCACACCTCCGGCCTGGCACACCAGCCTGCCCAGGGCCCTTGCTGCCCTCCCTCTACTTTGGGCCACCTGTCCCCCAGCCCCTGAGGGCTGAGTCCCCTACCATAGGGGATGAAGGGCCGGTCACTGGGTGGATGTAGCAGGAAGTGTTTCTCTCCAGAGACCACGCAGTAGAGGTTCTCATAGTGGTCCTTATGTACTGCCAATACAAAGAAGGCCCAGTGGGCAAGGTTATGAGGGGCAGGACACAGGAGGGGACAAATGACCACAAGACAGATGTGACAGGTGGTGTAACAGAAGATCACACAAAGTCAAAGCCGGCTCGAGGGGATGCCAAGGAGTCAGGCAGAATTCCATCAGGGACTTGACATTTGCTTGACATTCATCTCTACCAAGGGGGGAATCCAAGCAAACAGTTTTCCTGAGTTCACCCCGACCTAGCTGCCCTTCAGGAGAGCTTTCTGGAGACCTAGAAGAAACAGTCTCCTCCACGCCCCACTGCCAGGGGGACCCTCCCCAATCTGAGCTATCAGGAGGCGCTCTGTTACACCCAAACCCCAGAACCCCAGAATAAATCTTAGAAAACAGTCAAACTTCCGTCCAGACCCAACCTTCCACTCTTGACCTCCTCTTCCCTCCTCCCCCACCTCTGTATTCCCCTGATACCTACAGGATGTCACTGCAGCCACATCCCCCAGCCAGAAGTTTACAGCATCAGGCATCTTCCCTGCAGGTCAGAGGTAAGAGATCAAGTCAAAAGGGACCATCCTCGAAGGCCAGGCTGGGAATAACCACCATACAGTGATGCTGGACCAGAACCTTGGGGGAACCAGGGAGCTCACAGGGAGAGAACAGAGAGAAGGGGCAGAGGAGGGCCAGCTCCAGAAGGAGCCTCCTGCCCTGTGGGAGAAGAAGGGTGACAATGTCCAGTAGTTCAATGCAAAGTCATGGCCTGGAGGTGCGCCTGCGTGGCTGTCAGTTAAGTATCCAATTCTTGGTTTCGGCTCAGGCCATGATCTTGGAGTTTCATGAGTTCAAGCCGCGTGTGGGCCTCTGCACTGGCTGTGGATCCTGCTTGGGATTCTCACTCTCTTCCTCTCTCTCTCTGCCCCTCCCCCACTCATGCTGTCTCTCTCTCTCTCTCTCAAAACAAATAAATAAATTAAAAACAAAAACAAAGTTGTGGCCTGGAGACTTGAGCATTTAGTGCATAGCACCTGAACCTGAGGGGCCAAGAGTATGGGCCAAGTCATCACCAAAGGAAGAAGCAGCAAGCAGGGCTGACTCCTGCTTGTCCTTCCCATTTCTTCCCTGCCCAGCCCCTGCCTCCACTCACCCAGTGCCTCGGAGGCCCAGGGCACGTGGGACTCTAGATCAGGCAGTAGCTGGGGCAGCTCGGTGAGCAGGTTGGAGCACTGCTTCTGCACGTAGAGGACTCCTGGGTGCTGGGTCTGGCCCTCTAGCACATCCAGCACATAGCTCAGGGGCAGGCGACACTCAGCAGGCATCATAAAGCGATCCCCTCGTACAGCATCCGCATAACCATCAGGGGTCACAGCCACACTCACCTCTATGGAGCCCACTGTGGCTCTGGAGGAAAGGACTTTCAGCCCATGTCCAAATACCACAAAGTATCACCCAACATCCCCCCAGGGGCAGCCCCCACCTGAGATATGGGAAGGACCACTTCTGCAAAGCTGGCCAGTGCTGCAGGGCGTTGCGGATGATGCAAGGCCTATTGGGGCAGACCCAGTCCCGATAGAAGTGGAGTGGAGTGGGGGGCTCATCCAGGTAAGGCACAGCAAGAGGCACACTGAGCTCTGAGAGAAAGAAGGGGTGGGGGTAGGGTGGGGTTATGAACCCAACAGCACCCAGTTGCTGCCCCAATGCCTGTGTAGAAGATGCCCTCCCTGGGCAAGACACACTACTATCCCTGGATAATGCCCACTGATGACCAAGGGACCCTGGACAACCAGGAACTGAAAATTGAGGAGAGCATTTAAGGCAGAAAGCATGAAGCACCCACAAACACACCAGGATGGACCAGGGGATGGTGCTCAGCCCACAACCCACACCCTCCTTGGGACCATGTCCAGCCCTATACAGTGAACCCCACAGCTTTCCCACTCTGCAGTGTCCAACCTCATGGCATCCATTAGGAAAGGGAAACATGGAGGCAGTACATGGAACTCCAGAATAAGTGGTGCTGAGGCCCCAAGGCCACAGGCTGGTGTGGGTGAGTCAGGCTCTGGAAAGCACCCTCCAACAGTGATACTTACCAAGCTCTAGAATGTACTCAGTACTTGGTTTAGCCAATGCAGAGTATCAAGGGATGATCCTAATGTCATCTCAAGAAGATTACAACCTAACTGTGAAAACAAGATGCTACAGGAAACCATAGGAGGAAAAGTAAGGGCTGAACTGTGTTTTTGATCTTCCTGAACAGCATTACCATCCTCAGGAGATCCAAGGCTACCATGTACATTTATAGTTGTGCAGTGTGCCATCTGCACAGATGTCTATAGTGGCCCTGTATCACTTCTCACAAATCTATTCTTTTTGGCTCTTCCTTCTCCCTCACTTCTGTCCACCCCTATGGATTGTCTCTAAGTCCTATTGATTCTACCAACCACCCCCTCCTTCTTTCCTCTGCTGGTATCCATATTCAAATAACCTCCTTTGGGCCCTCAAATGTCACTTCAGTGAGGTTTCCTTCCCTGGCCATCCTTTTAAACTGTAACCTGTCCCCAACAATCCTACACTTCTTCCTTTTTTCCTTCTTTCATTCATCACCACCTAACATACTATATATCTCACTTATCCAAATTGTTTATTGATCTCTCTTGCTAGAATAGAATGTAAGCTCTATGAGGGTAAGGATGCAAATCTTGTTCATTGGTATACCCCCCAGGACCTAGAATAGTCCCTAACACACAGCAGGTGCTCAACAAATACTGGCTTAATGGTTGAGAGAAAGTCTCCAACATCTCCTGACTGGCTGATTGCTGCAGTGAACTAACTCGTTTCCTTGGGGTTTCATTCCACTCCCTCTCAAAGCATCCCTCACCCTGGCCCCCATCATCTTCCTAAAATACAATCTCATCTTGTCATACCCCTAGTTAAAAAAAAAAAAAAAAAAAATCCTTTGATGGCTTACCACTACTCCTTACAAATTATAATGTGCCTTGGCATGCATTCAAGGTGATACATGATCAGGCCCAACCTACTTTTCCAGTCTGGTTTCCTCCTGTCTGGTGCCTGCCCCTTACCACACTCTCTACTCAGGTGGTGCCAAACTTTGTTCCTACTTCTCCCACAAACGGGAATGCCTTTCTCCTGGCATCTATAAAGGGTACACAGGGCTTTGCTTTGTTTGTTTCATCCTTGAGATCTAGCCTGAATGTCTTGGCCCCAGTGGGCAGCCACTGCACTAATTTTCACCTCTGAGGTCTCCATGCCAGTCATCTTTGCTTTGCATTCAGTTGAAAAGTAAATGTCTTCAGCTCAAAAATTAGAACTGGGTGGGAAGACCCTGGTAGGCCCAAGAAAACGGAAAAGGGAAGAGCTGGAACATGTGCTTGCTTCACTGGCCAGAGAGGTAAGATGGTACCTGCCAAGCAGATAAGGGAGCAAGGGAGAGCAAACTGGCAAAGGGCCTTCCCAGTCATGCCAGTCCATCAAAGCAGTCATCTTGGGAGGGTGATTTGGGGCTCAGTAAATCTATTATTCTCACTGGAATTCTTTTTTTTTCCCACTGGAATTTTTAAAATGCGTGGAAACTGCCTTTCTTTTCACCGTTTGTATTTCCTGCTTACTGAATTTTTACTGCCTCACCAATTAAAAGACTTCCTGCAGATAATGACTACTGCTCCCTTCTGAGGCTTTGATGTGAGAGAATTTCAAAAGGGATTCAAACAATTCCTTTGGCCCAACAATTCTTCTGCTAGAAATTTAACCATCAAAAATATTCACACATGCGCAGAATGACTGCTCCAGGCACACTGGCATGTTCCAGGTTCACTGTTCCATGAACACACCAGGCACACTCCTACCTCAGGGCATTTGCCCCAGTGCCCTCAACCTGCAATGCTCTTCTCTCAGATGTCTGTACAGCTCACTCCCTTTCTACAAGCCTGTGCTTGAATGTGGCTTTATCAAGGCAGCCTACCTACCCTGACCATCTTATTTCAACCTGTATCCTCCACTCAACCCCTGGCCTGAGACCTCTTATTCTGCTTTTTTTCCCCCACAACATTTATCTTCTAAACCATTTCTTCTACTATATAATTTACTCATTACTCATTTAGTGTGACTAGGGTTAATGATCTGTCTCCTCACTTGGAATGTAAGGTATGGGAGGGCAGAAATTTTATTCACTGATGTATCCTAAACACATTGATCAGAGCCTCACACATTGAGGTGCTTAGTATTGAGGTGCTCCTAGTATTTGTTCCAACACTAGCAAAAAGACAGACTGTAAATGACCTAAATGTCTATCAGTAATAGGCTGATTCAGTAAATTACCACAAGTACACAAGGTGAAAAAGATTGCGGAAGAAGGATATAGGGTGGTCTTCAAGATACATAATGGTGCAAAAAAGTGTTTAGCAGACTAACAGTTGTAAACAGAAGGGTAATATAAATAGTGCTGCGTGTGTGTATGTGTAGATATAAACATTATTTCTGGAAGGATTCAAACTGGGGCCCCGAATGGGAGGGGTGCTTACTTCACATTATAAATCCGTTGCTTTTTAAACCTTGTGCCCGTGTTGTTAATTAATGGCAAAACAAAAAGCAAAAAAACAAAAAAACAAAAAAACGGAAGAGAGGGAAAGAGCAAAATAAAAACCAACCAGGGGAAGAGCCAGTGATTACTTGTACAGCTGCCTACAATTTTCCCAAAGCTCTGCACCACCTTGGAGAAGTCTGTTCCTGAATAAAGCGTTCCAGCTGGGGTTCTGAAATGGAACACCTGACCACCTCAAGACGTCACAACAGGCAACAGAAGGCTGCCCCATTATTCCGGGCGGGTTGACCGTGGGAAATACACCAGGGTGAAGACTGGCCCAAACCTTGGGAGTAGAATCAAGACACACCAGGAAGCCACGAGGACCTGCGAACACCGGAACAGGGGAGCTGAGGCCCCAGCACGGGGGTAGGAGCGAGGTTGGGGCAGACGAGTGATCTGAGTGGGGCCAGCAACGAGTTAGGTGCACGAGCGTCTGCGCTCCTTGAAAACACGAACTAGAGGGAAATGTGGTGTCGGCGGCCCAGGAGGGCCAGGGCGCACCCGACTCCGGACTCTGCTTCCTCACATGCCCAAGGTCCCGCCCACGTCCTGAGGCAGCCCGGCGGTGGACGCAAGACGGTCGCAGTCTCTGCGCGAACCCACTCACCCCTGGCGGCAGCCGGGAATTCTCGTAACTCCCTCCGCACCGCGTCCAAAGCCGCCTCCGCCATGACGCCGCCGCCGCTCTGCGGCCACGCGCTCTCCCCTTGAGACCCCGCCCCGCCGCGCCCCGCCCCGCCCCCCGCCGCGGAGCCTCGCGGCCTCGGAGCGCCATCCTCTGCCCCGCCCCCAGCGCACCCGGATTCTGCTAACCAAGCGGCGGGAGAGGAGCTGTGCCGTCTCCAGCCTGCCGCACTCGCTGGCATCCCAGATTTAACAAATGATTGTGTTTATTGATGAGTTCATACATCAATACAAATGGACGAGTTAAAAACGGCCCCTGCCCCGTGAGACCTCGGGAGGAGGGAAGCGCCCATGGCCTGAACAAAGTATAAAAGTTATAAATAAGGAGGTTTTCAAAACTGGGTCAGGGCAAATCTGTTGGGGGGGGGGCAGTTGCCGGTGGCCTCAGACATGCAGAAGGGGACGGGCGCCGGTGGCCACAAGACCCCCCTCTCCCACCTAAGCGCTCAGCTGAGGTAGGGAAAGGGCGGCCACCTTCTCACAAACCTTAGCGATAGTGTTAGCTCCCTCCTCTGAAGGACTGGTTGGCTGAGGATCTCCAAGAGCCCAGACCAGAGGGCCAGGCCTGGGGCTGATCTGTGGCTGTTGTGCCGGTTGGGGGAGTGGTAGTAGACTTCTAACCCTCACAAGGGCAGCTGCAGCCCTGCCAGGGTCCACCCTCAGCTGCAGGGGTTCTTGGGGCCAGGACTTCTTTGCCGTGTGGCCATGCAGGTGGTAGTAGTACAGAAGGCGGGTGGGGGTGGTGAACTAGGTTCATCTGTTCTGGTGCACTCTGGCTGATGCAAACAAGAGCAGGGCACTTTACAAAAACCAACTTTCTAAGTTGCTGCCTATTGAACCAGCAGGGCCCCAGGGCCTGTCCATGGGAGAATAGGTTGTTGTGGCCTGGAGCTTCAGGAAAGCTACACTGACTTACCTGAGGCAGAGGGAAGCAGCAGGGCCCAGAGACACGTGTTCTTCAACCTATTCCTCAACCACTGCTTCACTACTTGGTCCTACTCTACCTTAGCCCACTGTACCCTATCTCCTTCCCCTCACCCCTAACAACTGCCCTTCTAATTCTAATCTACCCCCTGCCCTCTACTACATACCTGTCCCACCTACCACCTTTCCAATGTGTCTCTTGGCCCCTTCTGCACTCCCATGTGCCTCCCCCTCCCCTCAACTTCCAGCATCCAGAGCATCTTGGGTGCCCAGCACTGCCTTTGAGGAGGCTCCTTCCACCTGAACCAGGAACCAACAAGCCATCTCACATCAGCTAGGTTGTGGACACCAAGAATCCAGAATTCAGGTTACTACATTCCAGTCCTTCTTGTGCTCCTTGATAGTTCCATATGAGCCAAGGTGGTGAAGCAGGAGTAGTACATGAAGGGAAACCAGGCACACATCAGCCAGCCAAGTACTTTAGCGATAAACACTCAACTTGTGTGTGTGTGTGTGTGTGTGTGTGTGTGTGTGTACAGTTCTGTGGCTAAGGTCCTTAGAAGGTGGGCTGGTGCCCTGTAAACCATGAGAGAAGTTCTAACACAGGCTTCTGACTGGGCATCACTCAGGATGCAAGGAGAAGGTGGCCTCTGGGTCTAGGAGCCTGCTGGGGACAAGGGTTGGGAGGATAGAGAAGACCAAGGAGCTAAGAAGAGGAGGCCAGGGCTTTATAGTTTGCCCAGCAGAGGGCTTTACTGTCCTGCAGCAACATCCCACAGCTGTCTCCACAAGTTCTGGCCAGGAGAGAAAGGGGGCACAGGGAGAGAGATAATGGTAGGGCTCTCTTAGAGGGGGGATGGGAGTGGAATGTGGGGGCTCAGGCCTTGACACCAACTCAAGCCTCCTGATGGCTAGGAACGCCCTGGAGGACTAGAGGGCTCTGCCCTACACAACTGCCAGGAAGTGGGGAAAACATAACCCCCTGCTTTGGCAGCCAGGGGAGTACAGCTGGTGTGGGAAGGGAAGTGGAGGTAGAGGTGAAGCTCCGCTGTTGGCTGAAGGGCACTGAATGCCACGTGGCCTCTCACTTCCACCCCACCAAATACCCTGTGTGTGCTCCACCCCAGGGAGCTGATCCCTGCAGTAATTTCAAATGGCTTCTAAGAAGAGAGGGCCAGCCCTTCCCGATTTCCCCCAGATGGGGCAGGCTGCCCTCCTACTCCTCACAGCACCAAGATGACAAAGATCTAAGACCTACCCTGCATGAGCCACTGAAGGGGCTGTGGAGGCAGGGGTTCCAAGAAAGTGAGGCGACAGTCAGGGAAATAAATTAATAAATACAGGGGCCCCATGAGGAGTAGCTGGGAAAACTGCTTTCCCTCTGAGCACTGATCCCTGCGATCCACTCCAAGCATCCCCACAGGTTTTGGAGAGTGGAGCAGGGGCTACAGTTTGGAATAAGGGAAGCATTCACTTGGAATAGGATTCTGGAACTAGAGTCTGCGTTCCATGCGCCGCTCCACAGCCCGAAGCAGCAGCTCTGAGTATTGCTCTAGCAGGGCCTGTGTTTGCTCAGCCCCCACAGCCCCAGGGCTCCCACCCGGGCTGCACAGCACTGCGCCAGCCAGGGCCTCTAGCTCCTGCCTCACTGAAGAGAAGGTGTTTCTGAGGAGCTGGGTGATGCGACTTTGCTCTGCTGAGGGCGTCTTGCAGCCAGCCACCTGCAGGAGGACCCAGGAAGTGAGTTGGAGGAACATCCTGTCAATGGATGTATAAAGGGGAGGGGCCCCATCTGGGTCTAGCCTGCCTCCAAAGAAGGCCCTGCTGGACTGCCCCTATGTCTTTTTGACATATGACAAGGGATACAATGAATAATTATACTGGGACAACAGACATAAACTGGGATGGTCCCGAGCAAACTAGGACAGATGGTCTCTCCACCCTTACCCCCCCCCCAGTCTGAGAAAGTCTCCGGCTCTTAGGGCCAATAGGTCCGCGATTCAAGAGCCCCGGCCTAATGGCCTCTACCTCCCTCAGCTACTCTGCCCAGAATGTTCTTGATTGCTCCACCCATCTGTCAGTGGAAGAGCCTTAGCATGGTTGTTCTGGATACACAGCTAGCACTCTGTCTCCCCCCACGGTAGGTGCCCAACACGTACCAAGTGGTAGAGCCGCACAGCCTGGCGTACATTGCCCTGGAGCTCTGCCACAAGTTGTTCACACTGCTCCAGGCTCACTGCTGGTTCTGGGAGGGACAGATACAACTCAGTAAGGCCCAGCAAAGCTGCCCTTTCAGGCCTCCCACCCAGAGGTCACTGTTTGCAGGAGAGGCCTACCTGTAGGATCACACCACCTCCACTTGCCCACTGTCCCTTTTCTTGCCTCCTTCCTCCCCAACAACACCCCTCCCCCAAATACCACACAGAAAGCGAGGTCCAGAGAGGAGGGCCAGCCCCAGCCCCAGGGGCCAGAAGCATTGAAGGGGCAAATGGGTCACAAGGAGATCGTGAAGACTGGCAGGAATGTCTCACCATCAGGGGTGTGACTTATGGACTGAGACAGGGGCAGACAGGACAAAAACACCAGAGGCTGGATGTACAGAAATGGGATGGAGCCAGAGAGGAGACAGCAGAGACAGGAGAAAGAGGATGGGGCAGGAGATGAGAGCTGGAGAGCTGTGCACACCTGAGTCCTGGCTCAGGGCTGCCCCCGGCCGGGTGCATTCCATGGGGCTGGGAGTCTTCTCAGGGGTTGGGGACTGCAAGTTCTCAGGGCCTCGGAAGAGGGGGCTGACCGGCAGTTGCTGGCCACAGGGGCTGTTGGGCCCAGGCTGAGCCTGGCACTCTGTCCTAGGCTTGGGAGGGGCACCCTCCCCCAAACAGGCCCGCCTCTCAGATGTACTGTGAGCCTTTCCCAGGCCTGCTGGGGAGCCAGGCCAGTCCACCTCACCAGGGGCCCGGCCCTTGGTAACAGGTGAGAATGTGGCCAGGGTAGGACGATCAGGCAGTGGCTTTGGAATGTCCAGGACCAGGTGAGCCCGGCTGGGCAGGGCTAGCTTGCTGAGCGGTGAGACTCTAATGGGAGCAGGAGCTTGAGGTTCGGCTGCCAGCCCCAAGTTCTCCCCAACAGAGATGCTGCGGGAGATCTTGGCCATGGAACTGGTGGTGGGGTTCTGGTAGGAGTGAGGCTGAGAAAGACGGCCATCAGCCTGTGGCAGGGAGCGCAGGCCCGCGTGGGCTTCCATCTCCCGTAAGAGCAATGGACCTGGTGGAGGGGCCTCATCTGCAGAGAAGACAGAGATATACAGGTCAGGTGGTGAGGAAGACATCCCAGGTGCAAAGACTCAGCTCCCTAACAGTTGCTATGCCCCACACATACCCACTAAGGGACACCCAGTGGCAAGCACAGTGACACATCAGAGCTAAATCAGGCCCTCCTTCCTCTAGCATGCTCATGCGATCCACACTCCCCACACCCTGGAGTTGAGCCCACCAGGCTCCTCACCTTGTGGCACCAGGCTCTGCACAGACTGGGCTTTCTGGAGTCCACCCAAGGGGCTGGCTGCAGTCACTCTCTTGGGAGACCAGCTGCTATCCGGGTTGAGACGGCGTCGTGGCAAAAGCACAGGAACTGCTTGCTGGGGGCCACCATTTCCAGGGGAGGGCTCTGCCTCTGGGGGTGCTCCTGGAGGACTGGCACCACTGCCTCTCAGCTGCTCACCCGAAGCCTGCAGCATCTGGACTGGTCTCGATGGCAGCGCCAGGCTTGAGGAAGATGGAGACAGTTCCCTACAGGGAGGAAATGTGGAAGAAGGCCCAGAGGAGGCTTAGGAGTCCCCTTTGCCAACATGAGGAGAAGCACTGGGAGACAAGGAACGGCACAAAGCCAGCAGGCCAGTCGTCCCAAACTTGGGAGTGCAAAATACTGTTGAGCATGGGAAGATAGCAGCCTTGGAGAGAGGAGGGTGGCATGCTGCCCCAGAGCCAGGACTGGCCCTCTGGGGAGGGCCGGGGGGTCAAGTGAGCCAGAGCTCCTTGTAGGAGAGTAAGAGCTGCTGTGGGGAGAGGTACCTGTGTGGGGGGGTCTGCACTTGCAACAGGAATCGTGAAGAGATGCTCCGAGACTCTGTCCTCTCTGGTACCCGGACTGGGCCCCCTGCCAGGGTGACAGAAATTATGAAGTGAAGCAAGCCCTGGTGCCAGATTCTGCCTCCCCTAGAAGGTAACCCAGGGCATGGCCTACCCTTGTACCCTCCCTCTCATCCAGGCAAGGAGGGAAGGAGAGAAGACTACAGTGACCACATACTGGCCCTCTGACCACACCTGGAGCAGCCCCATTGGCCAGAGTCTCAAAGTGCTGTTTTAGAAACTGCTCCTGGTCTGGAGTATGGGGACTGCCTTCCTGTAGCCCATAGGAGCCAGTGCCTCCCTCTTCTTCCTCCTCTTCCTCATCACCCTCGGCTGGCTCTTCAAGGTCTGAGGAAATGCCATCCACACTCAGGGGCTCCGTGCTCTCAGAGTCTGGATGTGGGGAAGGGACAGAAGCATCATGCTGCACCAACCTGTCGCCAGAGCCTCCACTCCCACCTCAGTCCACTGACCTCCCTCAAAGCTGCAGCCTCACCTTCGTTGGGGTGCTCAGGGCTGGAAAGGCGGCTGCTACTATAATCCACAGAGCAGGCACTGTCAGGGCTGTGCTTCTCGGAAGCCCTGCTGCCTGGATACACTCTTCCCAGGGTCCCTCGGGCTGGAGCCTGCACCTGGAACTCACTTTCAGGAGGGCCAGCAGGGGAAAGAAGAGGAAGTTAGCAGGGGTGAGCAGCCCCACCAGACATCTGGCTTCCTTCTCCCCGACCTGTGAGTGGGACTGGGGATGAGGCAGGGGCAAAGTGGCAGGGAAGCCCTGAGTATCCTGGGCCAGCCCTCCCATATAAAGAATGCACAGGAAGGGAAGACTGCGTAGCCTCTGAAGTCTGATGAGGGAAGGACCCTTGCCTGGTATCCAGGGTGGGACTGTCACTCGGCTCCGGGTAGACAATACCATCTTCGATGGGTGCAGGCTCCAGATCTTGGGCAAAGACCCCTTCCTCTTGGGACAACAATCGAATAATGTGGGGGCAGGAACAGGGTTGGGAAGCCTGATGCCGAGGGGGCTTTTCGTTCTGGGAACACACAAAGGGGCATTACTGAGGATGCTGACATGAGAAAAGGTCTGAGAAAAGAGGTGGAGGTGGGCAAGGATTTGGTGTGTATAAGTTCTGGGGGAAGCTGAATATTCCAACTCTGAGGATAGCTCCAGCTACTGTTCTTGAGCTTCTGAAATAACAATATTCTGTCACACTCCAGGCTGTCAACCTTCAGCCACCACTTAATATCATGAGCCCTTGAAGAAACCTGGCCCAGGGCAAAGGGTACCACTCCAATCACCACACCACACAGCCTAGCCAGCCTGAACCTTTGCAGTCCAGGCTACCAACGTGCCACAGGAGCAGAGCAAGCATAGATGGCCCAGTGCTCAGGCCCCAGCTGTTGGCATAAGGCTGCCTAAGGCTGCTTGGAGATCTCTAGGTTGCTGGGAGAAAGCTGGCTCACCTGGCTAGCATGTGAGGTCTCAGGAGGGACCTGCTGACCATGTTTCCCAGGGCAAGACGGGGTCATGGCCAGCAAGTCTTGGCTAGGGTCTCGAGGGCTTGGGGCCAGTGTCTCCAGCTGCCGCAGGTCCAGCATGGAGCGGACACTCAGCTCGACGCCTGGCTGAGCCCAGCGGCTCCTTCTTCTGGGTCCTTGATTGGCCACAGGAGCTGGGGCCAGGAACTCCACCGTCTCCTGTGCCTGGTGTGGGGCAGAGGAGGGGGAAGTTAACAACCACCATACAATAGTATCAGTGAACACTCATATATCACTTACTGTGTGCCAGGCATTTTATTTACATGTGTTCGCTCACTTAATCCCCACAACCACCTTATGAAGTCAGTAGTATTATTCTCCGCATTTTTACAGATGGGAAAACTGAAACACAGGGGACTTAGGTAACCTGTATAGTCCCACAGACAGTAAGGGCCTGCCTGCAGGTTACAGCTCAGGTAGTCTGGGTCCAGAATTCATGTTCTTAGCTTTACTCTACGTCCTGTCTTAGATGTTCTAGTCTCAGCCTTCGCCCAGTGTCATGGACACCTTGGAGCTGGGAATCTCTACAAAATCCCTTACTCAGAAGACAGTTCTAAGTCCATTCACAGCACCAAGGACAAACCAATAGTCCAGCCTTGAGCCCCTGGCCTGGTCAGAAGGCACCAGAGGCACCGTGCCACTATTATTCCATGGAGCTCCTGCTAACAATGAAGGCGCTGCCCCTTGAAGTCTTGATGTGGCCCAAGTGAGGGCTGGGCTGCTGTGGGGTTTGCCCAGAAAGTCTGTATCCGCCTCTGGCTGCCCTGTAGTAGCTGCCCAGTCCTCTCGCAGCCCTTTCCCTCCAAATAACTACTCTGGAAGTTCTGAGCTTACCTCCTAACGTGGGGTCTTTAAAACTAGTTCCTCCATGCTCTGGAAAACAGTGTGTGGAGGAGGTTCCTCAAAAAATGAAAAACAGAACTACCCTATGACCCAGAAATAGCACTGCTAGGAATTTACCCAAGCGATACAGGAGTGCTGATGCATAGGGGCACATGTACCCCAGTGTTTATAGCAGCACTTTCAACAATAGCCAAATTATGGAAAGAGCCTAAATGTCCGTCAACTGATGAATGGATAAGGAAGATGTGGTTTATATATACAATGGAATACTATTTGGCAATAATAAAGAATGAAATCTGGCCATTTGCAGCAATGTGGATGCAACTGGAGAGTATCATACTAAGTGAAAAAAGTGGTCAGAGAAAGACAGATACCATATATTTTCACTCATATGTGGATCTTGAGAAACTTAACCGAAGACCATGGAGAGGGGAAGCGGCGGGGGGGGAAAGTTACTGAGAGGGAGGGAGGCAAACCATAAAATATTCTTAAATACTGAGAACAAACTGAGGGTTGATAGGGGCTGGGGAAGAGGGAAAAGCGGGTGATGGGCACTGACGAAAGCACTTGTTGGGATGAGCACTGGGTGTTGTATGGAAACTAATTTGACAATAAATTATATATGTATATTAAAAAAAACTAGTTTCTCCAGATTTCTATTCTTTGCAGCTTTGATTTTCTTGAATTTCAGTTCTTTTTTTTTTTTTTAATGTTCATTTATTTTTGAGAGGGTGGGGGGCAGAAAGAAAGATAGATAAAGGATCCGAACCAGGATCCACAGTGACAGCAGAGAGCCCGACACAGGGCTCGAACCCATGAACCATGAGATCGTGACCTGAGCCGAAATCAAGAGTTGGACGCTTAACCAACTGAGCCACCCAGAAGCCCCTCTTGCAGTTCTAACAGTTTGGCTCGGACACCCCTTTTCTACTCCCCACCTCAACCTGTTCTTTGTTCATGTTTACTCCTAGGCCTACAGACAGCTGAACAAGTGGAGCACTTCTTCTAGTGGCGACTCACCCCTGCAGGCCACCCCACCCAGACTGCAGGAAGGAGACCCCTAGGCTTCATCATCTGTAACCTGGGACCAGTCAAGCTGCTCAGACTCTCCCACAAGGCTCTGTCTTAAACTCAAGGGGTGCAGCATGTGGGCAGGCCTAGAGAGCCCACTTTCACCTTCCTCTGCCTCTTATAACCTTGGAAGGGCATTATAACGATGGTGACTCACCCGACTCATCTCCCAGTGGGACAGGCTTCGGGGCAGGACTGGGCCAGGCACTGAGGCTAGACAGAGACAGGCAGTCAGAGAGAGTATCTCCAGCCCACCCACCCAGAGCCCTGGCTCCACATCAGCCCATACCTGTGTGGCCACAGTGATGCTCTGACTTCCTCAGCTCACCCTGATCTCACCCCCACAGTACAAGAAAGGGCATATCTGGCCACTGTGCCAAACTGGTGCCTCTCTGGCCCTACATGAGACTTTCACACACCCGGCTCTTTCTTGGTACCCTTGGCGAGGATAGGCAGAGCTGGCAGTTCTTCTTCTTCAGTGCCTTCATCTTCTCCCTCCTTGTCACTGTCTGATGACAGAGCTGGTCCAGGAGACAGCATCGATGGGGCCTCATGCCTAAGTCCAAGACAAGGAAGGTCATGGAGAGAGGAGACTCATTGCAGGTAGAGGCCAACCTTTATGGGTCTTCAGGTAAGAAATGTGTGTTGGGGGGGTACAGGAGTTGGGAGGTACAGGTGAATGTCAAGTCCAGAGCAGAAAGGAGTAGCACGGAGATCACAGCAAGCAGTCTACATGCCCACCCACCACTCGCCCATAACCATACTCTGTTCTCACCGGTTGGGACCCGCAGCCCTTTGGGGAGAAGATGGTCCTTGTGGCTTGCCCCCTCGCTGGCGCTGGCGCAGCTCAGCCAGACGCTGCCTCATGCTGATGGTCATCTCAGAGCTCAAGCGCCACACAAATATACAGCTGGATAGAGCCACAGAGTTGGGTGAGGGAGGGGTAGGGTAGGACCTGGGGTAGGTAGCACACCACTAGTTCCCCTTCCTCATGGGCTGTCAAGAAGACCAGGGCCACCCTCTAGCACCACATCAGGCCCAGCCAAGAAAGACCCCTGCTCAGCCCTACTTCCCAGAGACATCACTGATGTGAAAAGAGGGGAGGGAGCTGGGTATATGTGTGGCACAGAGGAAAAATCTGTGTCTCAGGGAAGCTGGCTTCTGCTCACCTGTCCCCTGACACAGAGATGAGATGTTTGCAGTCATTACTAAACTTCATGCCAGTGACAATCTCTGTGAGGAACAAAGAATACGGCCTATGAGCCACTCTAAAGTCCCCGCCAAGCTTCTGTCCCAACAGTAGAGGTCAATGGTTGGTGGGAGGGGTGGGGCGAGTAGCTCTGCTAGGTCCCCAGAAACTAAAGGAGGAAAGAGTAAAGTTGCAGCCGTAGATTATTGGGGAAACACTTACCTGAGTGGCCAAACATGGTGGCCACACACTCGCCTGAGGAGAAGTCAAAAATGGAGAGGTTCTTGTCAGAACAGCTGGTGGCGATATAGATCCCTGAGGGGTCTGTCTGCACCTGAGGAGTGGGACACACAGCTGGCAGAGGACAAGGGAAGCACCAGTCCCTTTCCACCCACTATCCCTGTCCTTCCTTTCTCTGGTCCAGAGCCCATCCTGCTGGGCCCTTACCTTAATGAGAGTGCCGTCCTCACCCTGTGATCCTTTAAACAGCTTCTTCTGCTTCCCACTGCTGATGTTGAAGATCCTGTAAAGAAACACTCTTGTTCACATGAAGAAGAGGCCACAATCAAGCACACCTGGATGACAGAGACCCCAGCATTCAGTCCCAGCCCTGTTCTCTCTGAGAGCCACTCCCCAACACCAAAGAGGCTACCACCTCTTGGGTAAGGCAAAGTGCTCTTTCTACAGGCTCAAGGGGTGCAAAGTCCTAGACAAAAAGACAGAAATGGGGAGACAGCTGCTTAAAGCTGACCCCTCAGGTCACATGGGTGGAGGTCACAAAGGAAGGTGGTTAGATGGTTTGAGAAGGGGACGCCCACCGAATATTTCGGTCCTGGCAGCCGATGGCCGTGTACTTCCAGCTGGGCTCCACATCCATATCATAGAGGGTCGTCTTCCGTACCACGTGGTGCGTCCGTGTAAACTGTACTCCATCTCCGGACTGAAGGGGTAGAACATGTGGGCTCACTAGGCCCAGAGAGCCCGGCTTTCGCCTCCCTTCACCTCTTACAATCTCAGCTCAGGGAACGACTGAGATTCCCCAACCACTGCCCTATTCAGGGAAGCCCCATACCCTCACCTTCTGTGCAGTTCGGAAGTAGATGCTCTTGTCTGCTCCACAGCTGATCATGCGGACTTGCCCATCGCTGGCTATGGAGGAGGGGGGCCTAGCTATTACCACAGCTCTCACCACAAGGGGGCCAGCCCTTCCTCTGCCTTCCCTCCATACTGCCCCACTGCTGAACTATTCCACATGACCAGGACAACCAATTAAATCAGGACACTTCCTCCAAACCTAAGCTTTTTGTTCTCTCTGTCCTCAGCCAACCTGGTTGGCTCACAGTCACCTAGACTGATAGTCGACATTCCACCTGTCCTCCCATCCAGCTCCAGGCCTCCCAATTGCTGTCCCACACATCCTTGCGACTGGCACACCCTTCTCATGGAGGCAGGAGGTAGGGGTGGAGGATACTGGTGGTAGGTGGCAAGATGTGTCTCAACTGCCCTGCCCCCACCTGCAAACTTGACAGCAGTGATGGAGGATGAGTGCTCGTCCAACGTCTGCTGCAGGCTATATTCACGGCCAGCATCTAGCACATGGATGAGCCGATCCCGGCTCGCTGACGCCAACAGCTTCAGACCTGGGGTTGAAACAACTCTATCAGCCCGTGAGTGCCCAGAGCAAACTCCTATGTGGGCCCGGCAGAAGGACCACAGGAACTGAGCCCCTTAACTCTGAGCCAAGTGAACCATGCAGCAGGCATGGAGCTGTCCTCCTCTAAACCTGCAATACCAAGTGATTCAAACGACGCTCAGTCCCGCATCCAAGAGCCAGGATGGACGTAAGTGGCACTAGCAGGACTGGAGGGGCCCTGTGCCATTCTGGGCTAGCTCCCAGGCATCCTTCTTACCTGTGTCTGGCTTAGAGTACTCCAGGCATAGAATTTCTGAGTCATGGGCCTCCACCTTTAGCATCTCACTCAGAGACTGCAGCTCGTGCACTCTGCAAAGATGAGAGGGAAGAGGGTGTTGACAGGCTACCAGAGGAGAGGCTCACCCTCCATTCTCTGCTATACCTTCCCTCTAACCTGTTTTTAAAATTGTATTTTTATTTATTTTTGAACTTTTAGGTTTAGAGAAAAATTGCAATGAGCATAGAGAATTTTCATATTAACGGCAGTTCAAATACCAGAAGCAGGAAATTTACATTGGTACAGTAGTATTAATTAATTAATTAAGGATTTTATTTGAATTTCATCAGTTTTTCCACAAAGCCTTTTTTCTGGATCCAAGATCCTATCAAGAGTCCAAATTGCATTTAATTGTTGTTTCTCCTTATCACCTGTAGTTGGTGACAGTTCTTCAGTCTTTCCTTATCATTCATGATCTTGATGCTTTTGAGGAGTATTGATCACTCTTCAACACTCTTTAGAAAAGTATTGACTACTCTGTCCTACATACCTCAGTTTTAGTCTGCTTGATGTTTTCCCATGATTGAACTGAGTTTACGCATTTGGGGCAAGAATACCACAGAAACCATGCTATGTCCATCTTAGCACATATTATGGGCTTCATGAGGTTGACGTGAGGATGTTAAGTTCACTCACTTGGTTAGGATGGTTTCTGCTGGGTTTCTTCATTGTAAAGTTACTATCTTTTCATGTATATAGACATCTTGTTCCCCAATCCTTCAGAGCCAATTTTTCTAAAGCTCTGTCCTTCAGGACCTAACTCCCTCGGCCTGTGCCGTGGGAGGCAGTCAGTACCACTCCAGGCCTGGCATTACCTGAGCGTGCCTACACGGTCCCCAGAAGCTAGATGCTGTCCGTTGGGGCTGATACACACAGAGCGGATGCCCACACGGGGATCCATCAGGGACCCATCAGCTTTGTCTCCTCCGGGCAGCTCGGTGTCCAGCAGGGCCTGAGTGTTCCCATCCACATAGATGATCTTAATGAGGTCCTAGGGGAGCATGTCAGAATAGCAGGTGAATTAGGCAGGCCTGACCCAGTACAGCTGCAAAGGAGAAGAATGCTGGACAAGATAAACCCCTGGCTCAAAGAGCCCAGCCAAACCAGAGCTGGAAGGGACCCAGTTCCTGAGAAGGGGGTGTGAAGGCTGAGGGGATGGGGGCATTAAGTAGGGAATAGATGCCCTAAGGCCTCAGGGCTCACATTGCTGAGGATGTTTCGGTGCAGGGTGGAGCCGTGTACCCCGGAGCTCTCTGTGTTCCACAGGCGGATGGTATTGTCTGAGGAACAGGTGATAAAGGAACTTGGGGGCAGGCAGGCCTGGTTACTGTCCTTCACTTCAGGGTAGACCTGAGGGGCAGAGGGAACAAAGTCAGATCTCCATGTAGGGGGCAGTCCTTTACCTGCCCAAGGAGATGGAAGGGAATGCGATTAAAGAGAGGATGCTGGCCAAGACTTAGCCCAGTGTTTGTCACAGAGTAAGCAAGCCATAACTATTAGATACTCTGTGTTATCACTAAGGGCAAAAACCTTAACAAAGCTCCCGCTATGTTCCAGGCACTCTTCTACATCTCCCGCTTATATCATTTCATTTAATCCTTAGGACAACTGGAGTAATCAGGTACACCAGTTTACAGTTGAGGAAACTGAGGTTCAGTCAATTTCAGTAACTTGTCCAAGATCACCCAGCCCAGGATGAGGCAAAGCTAGGGATAGACAGGGATACAATGGAAGAAGCCTGAGATACATAAGCAGTAAAATTCAAGCTCAATCCTCAGGACCCATGAAGATATGCGGATACACAGGGATGTTGCTGGAGAAACAAGGAGGCAGCAGGAATATGAAGGCATCTTCAGGGATCCCCACCTCCTGCCCCACAATGGTACCCCAGCAAACCTGGTCAGTCCCAAGCCAGCCCAGCCCACATACCTCCACACTCCAGACGCAGGAGGAATGATACAGAGCTGAGTACACCTTGCCCACTTTCTTGGGGTCCCTCACATCCCAAACATAAATGCTGTGGTCGTTGTATACACAAGACAGCCACTGATTAGTAGGATCAAAAGTCAAGGCAATGGTGTCTGGATACCTGGCATTGGCCACTCCAGAGAAGAGGCGACTGTGGGGAAGAGGACAGGGCAAACAGTGAGTGAGGAGCTGATGAAATGGAGGACTAAAAAGAATGAAAACAGAAGCCAAAGAACAAAGGAAGGAGCAGAGGGAGCATGAGGAGCCCTCTCCACACCTGCAGGGGGCAGCTGCCTGAGAAAGAAAAAGGTCTCTGACAGCTGTCAGCCAGGAGCTGACCCTTGACCTGGCACTAGTTGTTGGACCTCGGTGTTCTCGTGATGAACACAGTGTCAGAGAACACGAAAGTCAGACAAGGTACCTCTGCGGCCCTGATGGAACAGAACAAAAACAAGACCCCTCTATAATTGTGTCTGAGGACGGATAAACACACGTCACTGTATAAACCACAAAAATGACCGTACATTTCCATTCCCATCTATCATGATTGAATGCTACTTCTTTACCAGTTACAGCTTTAGCCCCGTATCTTCCCTTCCACCTTTTAGATAAAAATGATTAAGAAGTCCAATTGTAGAATTGCCTGTACTTCCTGACAGCATCTAACCAGAGCAAAACTTCAACACCTTGAACCATTCCTAAAATGATCTAATACAAGCCCAAATCTTACGATAAGCCCTACCTACCCTCCCCCCTTCCTAAGACACTAGCCGGTTTCCCACGGTGTGCAGCCTCCTTGGTTGCAACTAGTATCAATAAGCCCAAAGCTGTTGGTCTACAGAGGTGGTGCTGGCAATCATGGGGGCACTGATACACTCCTCAGTTTGACTCCTGAAGCACAGCCAGGGAAGGCTGGGCCCAAGGTGAGGCTCTGAATGGAGGCAGGGGGCCCACACAGCTCACCTGGCCTCAGTGACGCTGGCAATGTCTGTCCCCAGGGCGTGGGGCCGGGGCAGCGTGCTGAGAAAGTGCAGGTTAGAGGGGTTGAAGAGGCGCACGGTGCCATCAGCACAGCCACAGAAGATGTAGTCTTGGCTCACAGAGATGCAGTGGGCCACAGTAGTCTGCAGGCAGAAGGGCTCAGGTCAGCAAGGGTCACCTGCCCAACCCCTCCTCAAGAGTCACCTGCCAAGAGGAAGGACCAGCCAAGGCAGAGGCGAGGAAAAAGCTCCCCAGCAGCTCTGGCCTGAGCCCCTCAGCTGTCATCTAGAGATACCCCTCCCTCCAGCAGCAGGTGGCCAGAGGGCCTACAGCCACGTGCAGTTGGGGGATGGGAGTCAGGGACCCTTCTAAGGCACGAGAAGTTTTGGCAAAGAGGACAAAGAAGGAAAAGCCCAGCAGAGAGAAAGAAACAGCATGAGAAAGACAGGAGGGTCTAGGTACCACTTACTGTGAAGCTGTCTGTATTCTGAGAAGAGGGAAGCAGAGGAAAGAAAGATGGAAAGAGAAAGCAGAGAGGAGGCAGTTATAGAGATCTCCAAGGGCTGGAACTAGGCCAAGCTCTGGCTCCCACAAGCTTCTCTCTCCTGGGGTCCCCTCCTGCATGCGTGAGGGCCTAGACCCTGGTATGGAGCCAGAGGCATCAGATCTCCCCTGAGCTTACACACGGGCAGCCCCTACCCATTGGGACAGAGGTGCTTACTCTCAGCTCCACCCACTTATCCAAAAGCCTCCGATCGCTGAACTCGCACAGCAGCCCTGAGGACGTGATGCAAAAGGTGCTGTCGGCCTTCTTCCCTCGGCCACAGGCCACATCAGTGAACAGGTTGTTTCGCAGCTCCCCCAGCAGCCCTGAGCGGCCCAGCAGGGGCACAGTGGCGTTCACCTGTGGAGACACACCACAGTTGCCACCTGTCCACCCCAGAGCCTGCCCCTGCAAACTAGACCCTGGGGAGAAGCAGCAAGGCCCCCTCATTCTTTGAGACTACTCCTTGGCCCGGACAGCACCTGGCTCACCCAGAACTTCTGTATGGCCACTCGGTAAGCAGAGAGGGGACCAAGTGAACAGGGTCTCCTGGGGTGGGCTGAGCAGGCCCTGGCTCTGGGCTACTTCCAGCCTCAGCAGCTCACCTTTGAGGTCTTACTGTCATCGAGGTACCAGAATTTGATGTGCCGGTTGCCTGCAGTGACAAAGTAGCTGCAATCTTCAGAGAAGGACACTGCTGTCACCCGACTAGACACCTTATTGGAGGCCACCACAATGTTTTTCTGGAGGGAAAGCCAAAGGAAGAATCAAAATTCTGCCTCTTGGGGCTAAGAAGAAAGAGGTTTAGAGGAAGGAGGAGGGGTTAGATAGGATTTGTACTTAAAAAGGGCTCCTTTCCAAGATTTTTTGGTCAGAAAAAGAAGGGAGAGAGAAGAATTTCTTTCTAGAGGAGCTGAAGAGATTCATTTCCTCTGTAGATCCTCAAAGGCATAAAGCTAGCCCCTTTCTACCAACACACCTGGCTACACAGTTTTTCTTTTCTGCTTCAGGCTATTTTCTAGAATGAGACTGAGATTAGCAGAGTGGAGTGAAGGGGTTCAGATCAGCAGCTTCCTGGCTCCCTGACTGGTCCATGAACTCCCATGAGGCTGTCAGGCCAGCCCACCCAGTCTACTCACCTTCCAGGCCCAGACATTGACAATCATGTCATGCTGGTAGCCCACGGAGACAATGTACTTGGCGCTAGGGGAGAAGGCCACACAAGCCACGCCATATTTATGCTCCTGCAGCTCCGCCACCTGGCTATGCTCAGCCACGTCCCAAACCCGGACGGCAGGCATGTGCCCACTCTGCAGGGAGGCAAGAACTGGAAGTGAGGGCCAGAGGCATACAGACGCCCCAAGCCTTTCAGGGTGGGGGTTCTCATCCCCCGCCCCCCCAGCTACTCAATAAAATCTCTCTAATGACCCCTGGCCAAGAGGCAAGAGGAGAGCGCTATTATGGGGCAAAGGTATTTTAAAAAACATGATAAATATCTCAGGACAATGATCATCAGGAAGAAAACAGCCCAGATTTTGTTCAATATCTGTGTCAGGGTGTGCACCTCTGTATTTGTTCAAAACTCCTTGAGTGATTCTTGATGGGTCTCCAGGGTTGAGAACCACTACCACTCATGCCTATTTCTGCCTCATCTGCCTCCCTGTAAGCCTGAGAACACAGAGGCATCCCTCATGTGCCCAGCAGGGGGCCTCTGGAGATAAGGAATATTTTAAGGCAGTGGTTTTTCAAAGCCTGCTTCCCAAACCAGCAGAATCTGCACTAGGCAACTCGTTAGAAATGTAAATTTTGGGGTCCCATCTCAGACCTATAAAGTCAGAAACCCTGGGGGCAGGCCTGACAATGTGTACTTCACCAAGCAAACCAGGTGATTCTCACTAAGGTTTAAGAACCACTGTTTTCAGGCAGAGCAAAGACTAGGATTTAGCATCTGTTCAGGAAGCCAAAGTGCCAGCAGCCCTAACGAGGCCTAGGATTGTAGCTCTCTGCTGAGGCCAGGCCACCCACCCACCTCAGAGGACTACAGCCCCCGTTCCTCACTCACCTCTCCAGTGACCAGGTACTTGCCATCAGGAGAGAAGGCCAGGGCAGTGATGGTTTTCCTGCAGGATATGAGGCAGGCTCAGAGGGGCACTGACAGCCTAGCCTAAACCTGGCTCCCACAGAGTCCCCTCAAGAGGCAAGGTGAGCAGACACTAATGGCACACATAGTGGCATTTTGCTATCTGATCCTGGGCCCAACCAGGTCCCAGTCCTCAGACCCTCAAAGACCCCAGACAGTGCCCTTTTCACAACTCCCAGGAAATGGAGGTGCTCCTTGAGGGCCCAGCCCCATTTACCTGGAACTGTTGAGGATGTGGTGCTGTTTGTGTTTCCGGGGATTGAACAGCACGACCACACACCTGAGGAGATAAGGGAGACAACAGGCTTAGCTCCAAGCCACAGCTCCCCTAGGAGGCACCCAGGCCACCTGGGAATTCCCATCACTCAGCACAGGGAGCTGTGGAGTGCAAGTTGAGAGGGGCTCTGCTTGCTACTGAGGGCAACTGCTTTCTGGCAACCTCTTCTTGCTTCCCTTCCCCACTCACAAGGGCCTATCTCTGCAGCCCCATGAGGGGGAAGGCTCCCTGGAAGCCTATCCCACCAGGTCCCTAAATACCAGTAACATCTCTGGCCATACCCACAAAGGGCAGCAAGGACACAGGCCTTCCCACAACCCTTACACAGAGCCCAGGAAGGGGTGCAGGGGGGAAGAGTACACGCGATTTGAGCACAGCAGCAGCCAGTTTACAGGCTTAGAGCCACATGTATGACAAGAGTTTGTGCTCCAAGGAGGGGTAAGGCCTCTCATGTGTGAGCCCACATGTGTACCCGGCAGGAGCTGGCCCCATACTCTCTACGTGCCAGATGAGGAAGGAGGTGGGAGGCAGGAGGCCAGAGCTGCTGGAAGGCTCAGTAAGACTAGAAGGAGGGGCAGAGAGAGCCCAAGAAGGCCTGGGGAGGCCTGTTCAGTGCCTCGGAACTCCTGTGCCCAGCCCTGAGAATCCCCTGTGGCAAAGAGCCTGAGAAGGGCACTCCAGACTGCCAGAAGACAATCTGGAACTCCGCCCGCCTGCCTGCTGTGCAGAGAAGGGTGGGAGTACCCTCTCTGACCAGGCAGCAAGGTTGGACGGGATCAGGTTCAGACTGACTTTCCAGAGGCAGTTCCAGAGAGGAGGCCAGGTGACAGGAGTCAAAGCAGGAAGCCCGAAGCCATAGGCAGGCAGTGCTCTCTCTTAGGCTCCTTGACTGTCAGCAGGCCTGGGCCCGCTGCCCCTTCCACCTTAGTACTTCATGAGTACTGTAAGTAGCTGACAGGAGCAAGCCTGAAGCCTGCTACACGGGGAGACACTGAGCAGAGGGTGACATCCCCCAGACCCAACCTTGTTTAATAGGAACTCCAATGCCTGCTAAAACTTGAAGCAAAGGCAAGTACAGGCTGCTAGTGAGTGCTTGGCACGTTAGGCTCCATAAACCACTTCAATATGCAAATTCTACAAGTAATCTCTGGGGTCACCAGAATCTCTGAGGTACTAGATATGCCCAGAACTGCCAGGCTGAGCAACGAAGCCTTGGAATTCCTGAGTCACATCATCTTCTCTTCTGACCCCTTCCCCAAATCAATCCTCGCTGTTTGCTTTCTCCTTCTCTCCCCATCTCCTCATCTTACCTTGTTCCCTTTTCTTCATTCCTTTCTCCTTTCTCTCTTTATACCAATCTCTAGTCTCCTGCTTCCCTTGTGCAATGCCATGTCATCATAGGGATTGAAATATATGACAAAAGTCAAAGGCCCTTGGAAACTCTGTGCCGCATCACTCTTTCTCCCCTGTTCCCAAACACACACACACACACACACACACACACACACACACACACACACA